TCTGGAGGTACCTGAAAAGGAAATCGGATTAAAGGTGGTCTTAGTAACCTGAGAGCGTGACCGCAGTGCCCAAGGGACAACTGCTTGAGGTCGGCCACACAAGACCTTTTTGTGGGTGATTTTTGCGCTAGCTCCGTACTTGTTGAGAACTTACCTCCGAAGACGGATATCCATGAGATAAGGCGAGGTGTACATTTTAAGGGTCGACCTTTCTTAACCCCACTCCTCCTTGTGGGAAGGCAGCATCGCTGTAGATGCTGGTTGTCTGAGGAAAACACTTTACTGCTGTCACACTTCTGTACAGTCAGCAGTACGACTTCGCCTTCGGACCGTAGCTCTGTTGCTTTTATTCTTAACGCACTTCAACCGACCTGTTTGCAATGGTAGGAACTTGAGGAACGGTTGTTCTAGCCAGTATGGCTCGGTTGCTTCACCACGATAGGCAGTCCCGACAACCACGTCAAGGTGGCAATAACGGTCAGGTTAATCTATTGTACGTCCTCTTCTTAAGTTCATCATGTGTCTGTCCGACATTGTGTTGGATAGAAACTCTATTATCTAGAATGCACTCATTAGTATTAGAATTAACAACCGAAATCGGAACAGACTCACCTGCCTCCTGGGAATGTGTAATCAGCATGTCGGTTGTGTATTGCGACCGCTGCTACCTAGAATTTGAACCATAGACTTTTAGACTATCCTCACCCACGAAATAATGTTGAATTTTTATATCCCCAATTTGTGGATGATGTGGCTTCATTCAAAACATATTTCTCACATTGGTTAGAGTAAACATTAGAAGTGTTTTTGTGATAAGGATAAACAGCAGTTGATATGAAATCATCCGAATTGTAGTCAAAATCGAGGTCATTTAGTACTCTTGCTTCGTATTGAACAATTTTCCCACAAGAAACAAATGCATTATGAGGACAAATAATATTTGGTATAACATCAAGCTTTGACTATTCTCAAATAGTTTCCTCGAATTTAGTAAGAATGTTATCGCAGAGTAAAGGATCATTGAAAAAATCAGCATCTTTCACGACTGCATCAGGTTTTCGATCATGACTAGGTTCACTCAACATATTTTCCTCAGATTTGCAAGGAATTTTGTCAGAAATAAGTCAGTCATTAGGAAAAACCATATCTGGTACAATAACATGAAAAATCTGATAGGTTGATTGATTAGAAACTGTTGTTTCGTAAGATTTCTGAGTTTCATTTAACTGTGAACTGCTATATGACTCTACACTGTTTTGTGAAATCGTTGATAAAGATAAATGATCATTATAAATACTCAACTTAGTAGAACCAGAATTACAAGACTTAATATTAGTTGCAGCAAGATGAACAATAGTATTACAAACTGACTGAATATGTCCAATATCATCACATTTAAAGTACTCAGAATTACGAAATTTACATGAATTAAAAGAGTGGAACCTGCCATAGGAAAAACATTGACCCAACTTGTATCGATCTTCGTGAACTGTATCGCATCTCCTCAATGAATTATCTGCATAACCTTGTGCATGCACCTTATGAATCATTTTACGAAATCTTCCTGTTTTACCGCATTCGAAATTTGTATACTTGACATAGTCTAGCAGTAGTTCCTTGAGATCTGTGTAAGGGAGCGAAATGGGCTTTTTCGGTAAAGCCAGAGTTTCTAATAAGCTGTAAGCTTCTTTTCCGATGAATGTGAGGGAATGTGCTACAATATTAACATCTTCATCACCTTCCTTGGACATAGCCCAGATTTCGAACCTTTCAAAGTAATCCTCGAAAGCATCAAAGTCTGAATGTATATCCAACAATTCCATCACAGGCTCCATCGCGACGCCGATGTGATGATCAGGAGTATTTGAATCATAGTACGAACTAAGAATCACAGAAATAACGTAATAGGATCAAGAAGTACTAGATAACCACAAGCGAATGTACTGTATTTAGAATTCGAAATCAAGCATTCAACAAGTACAAAGTAATCACTAATTCATTCAAACACCACATGAGTGTAATCGTGAAATGTTTATGGTTTGTAACTTGTTGTTTAATGTAGAACTAAACGAATAATGAAACGAAATCATCATACCGATGAGATGTATGTACACGGAGAAAGAAATCAACTACTCTTTCTCACAACTGAATTTAATCAGCATGTAGTGCCTGGGAAATGTCACTAATCCCTGTCAAGGTCAAGGAAGACCAAAGCGCATCAGTTAATCGTATGCCATGGACTGGCCCATGTGTTGGGTCTCTTACTTTCACTTGTATCTACTTTAAATATATTTGTGTAATAACGTCCTTTGTATTGTAAAGTCTTCAAAGCATCTATAGGAACTTGATACGTCTATGTAGCAATCCAAATAAGGTGGTGACCGCCAGGTGTGATTTCGTCGTTAGCTTGTTCGTCACACCATTCCCGTCTAATTCTAATAGGCCCCCAATCATTCGATAAAGGTAATCTACGCTAGTGAAAAACACTGGTGAGCCCAACGTGGTACTTCGTTATTATCTGAAAATAAACTTAAAACAACGCGTTCTGGAAGAAGAGTAAGATTGATAGAACATTTGGACGATTATTACATGTAAGATACTAGTTGACATTTTATATCATCTCGATTTTTTCTTTGTACTACATATAAAACGATTTCAATATGCTTATTTGTTTATATTTTTATTTCAAAAAGACCATTTTGTGAAAATCCTACGCTATCACGTGTGCATGAGTTCATTTTCCTCTTGTTCGCCCACTTTGTGTTTATACGCGCGTACGTGTGTATTTCGACATGCACTTACATATGCTTTTTTATTTTCCAGAACGGCTGGAAAAGACGAAAAACAACGACGAAGTTTACGATGAACCGAAATTTTCATTGTACGTTGTTTCTTTATTATTATATTATACTACATGGTCCCTCATCGTAAGGAAAGGTGACCAAACGCTGCTAAACCTAGCAAGCTATCAGAAGAGTGTTTATCAACGCCAAACTCGTTGGGTTTAAACTTTTGCCTGGCCATGTCTTAGAGTCATCACTATCCCATTAGGGGAGGGGGTGATCTGTAGCGGTAAATAAATCCCCAAAATAAATAGCTCTGTAAGTCTTCGACATCCGATGCTGATCACATTAGACTCACCTAGCTGAAGGCACTCGGTCATGCATCAGCACCAGATCACGAGTGGAAACGCCGTGCTCAACAACCCTTGCAATCGCTAGCCAGATTAGATCAGTCGATCCTCGGTACATAGACAATCAATCAAATATATTTTCTAACCTCCTCGCTTCTGTCTTTTGATTTCACTTGGTGGGTACGATTCATATAAGAAGGTGTTACTGATTAAAGCGTTGTCAAACTCCAGATATTTGTGAAATTTTCAAGCATTATATTTGGATTGTTCTAGGTGGATCTTCTTTAATATACAGCAAACACTCAAGAAACTTTAAAGACAAACATCTTATGACCCAGCACTTTGTATATGTGAAAACATCCACAGAATGTTTTGAATAGTCTTCATCAATTCTGGTTAGAATCGTAGATCAGTAACTTAAAGTGGACTGAGTCAGAGAGATGAAATTTATTGTAGTACAGTGTACCGATAATGACCTTGATTTCTACCAAATGCACTGGTGAATCGATAGGCTTTAAAACTAGACCCGACAAATATTCTGCGATTCAGTGATAGGCTAATATTAGAACGTGCCAACGCATCACTCTGGATAAAACACTGCGTGGACATTCATTACTGAATGGTTGAGAAACTGATTTTTTGAACACTCAACTAATGGTGACTCTCGAAGACGACTAGCCTTGTTTTCTCCATTATAAAGCACTTACAGCCTCATAACTATTTCACAACATTTCTAATTGTTATGTGAAATGTTGGACGAGATTCTGTCATAAATAGTCAAGACTACACGCAGTTCTGTGTTTACAGGAAAGTTGTCGAAATTTCTACTGACAATCACTCTAATGAGTTTTAAATACTTTCCTCTAGATAGGAGGTTTTTCATTGTTGGGTGTCGAACGTCGAGATGTCCACATGATAACCATAACAATCCATTTATACTTTCTAATGGGAAACACTTCAACCTAGGTTTTCGGATGATCAACTCAATGAGCTATTTCACTTATGATGCTTATGCGCATGTTAACCAATTTCACCTCACATATGTTGCATGTCGATCACAGGAAGTTTCATAACAGTAGAGATAATTAAAGAACACACTGTGAAATGTAAGAAAGAATTAAATACATTGACTTTTGCGTTAAAATACGTAAAGTGAAACTGAGAAGTATGTTTTATCAACGGTGTCCAATCATGTTTCGAAATACATATCCTGACTTGTGCGAAAATTACAGGTTGAGGGACGTGGTTTTCAACCGGTCATTATCGATGTGCTAACCTTGTCTAGTATTTTGTTTGAAGAGTTGATTCGGCAATTCTTATTATTTTTGCCTAGCCTTGTCTACAGTATGACGAAGCTTCAACTCATCTGTTTTACTAGTCGAAGTGACTTCTGGCAGGTTCTGCTGACTCAACCTAGTGCATTTATTTCTATTGTAACTGATTTATTTATCCATTTCATAGTATAATGATTGAAGAAACGGTTGATCCATTTTCATTTAGAAAAGTCATCTTTTATTCACAGGATTGTTCTTGTGCTTGTTATATTGCTTGGTCTTTTAGATGTTATCCCTTACAGTGAATAAACAAAATTGCCTTTAGATTTACTCATACACACACACATACTTCAGTTTAGTATTGGTTTTGAAGAATATTCTGATGTTTGTACATGAAATCAACCGATAGTTTTAGCACACAAACTATTCTCAAGTAAAAATCAATAGAGACTAAAGTGTTAAAATAACTTCAAATCATTTAATGAGAATACTTTGAACTGTAATATGGTTTTGTTTCTCAAAATTCACATCTGACACTATATATTTAAACACAGATTAGATGTTATCAGTTTGTATATGACAAATAAATCGGAATGTCATTTATTTTAAAGTTATTCATCATCCTACACTTCGGAATTGGTTATATTTTGCTCTATACATACGAACTGATTTCGATATTGTTGACAAAATTCAAACCAACACTAATGAACCCAATTAGACAATTAAGTCAAAATGATGCATCATGTAGAACTACTAACCTACCCGACAATAAAAAGTTATTTAGATATAAATTGTATTTAGATTATGCTGTAAATTTGTTGAAAACTACTAAGAAATCTAGTGTAATGGAAGCTATCGAAGTTATTTTATGTAAATTCTAATTTCAGATTACATTTACATGAATATTTCTTAAAATGTAGATATTTTAAAAGACAATAAATTGACCAAACTACAAACTGATTGTTTATATCATTTGGCCATTGGTTTCTTAAAATTAAATGTAATTAAAGATGATTATTTTATTCCTTGATAATAATGTTCTTTTGTATTTATTTGTTTGGCAGGACTATCATAATGCTACCATCTATTCTCAGTGTTTGTTAACCATTGAACCAGATAATCAGAAAATCAAGAATCTGTTATTGGAAATCAAATCACGCTCGTATGAAGGTAATGATTATCTATGAGTATATGTACACATGTATGTCACAGAACTAATTTTGTTCCACCATTTTATGTAAATATATTTCACCTACATCACCTAAGTGATTGTAAACAGTGTGAAGTTCGCGACAACATCAGTGTCAATTCACTAATATTACTTGACTAAAAGGGATAATAATGAAGCAAGATGTATTTATGCCCATAGTTTGTCTTTAAACACTGATCGGTTTCTTATTATGACGTTTTCAATAACGCGGAAATGAGTTGTGAAGTCTGCCAACTATAAATAATAATGTATGCTTGAAGGTTGGACTGGCAGATGAATAATTAAAATAGTTCAATTTGTCTTAGTATCAGTGATAAAAGTAGGATTCGATTCAACTCCATACGTTTTGTTAGTTTTTATGCTGATGAAGCGTGATGCAGTCAGTTTCTCTTCAGACACTTCCACAGATATACAGTAAGTTATTCGTCAGGTTTTTCAAATATTCTTCCTTGAGAAATACTCTGGAGTTGGTCAGGGAGTTTCGGTTTCATTTTCCCTTCGAAGATGAAGGAGGTAACAGAATATTCCTTGAAGGTTGGTGACCGACTTTGACAAATTGGTGCTGGTTCATGGAATTTTAGCAACCAAAATCCCTTTTGGATGACAGACGATAAAATCGACTACGAAGTGAATGCATTCATTTATCTTCACATCAACATCACTGACTTCTCATTGGTTACTAAAAGTGTATTCACTTAGCTCAAAGAAAAGTGTCGAACAGTCAAGTTGCAGATTGCGGAATCTGTTGATGAGTTGGATGTTTTTGTCAAATGGTGCGAAGTGATGTCTTAACTCTGATGAACACATGTTGGGAATGATACATATTTTTACTGTATTCTGTTAAATACTAATATTTTGAAACATACAAATTCGCTTTAACCACTGATTATTCATCTAGCGCGGAATATGTCTATGTAATATCAGTACATGTCTGCCATTAATACGGTCTGTTAAATATAAAAGTTAATCGGTCCGCAATAAATTCTGATGACCTCTTGTTGGGATATTCAGAAAAATATCCCAAAAATTATCCTGTTAAGTCTAATGCTATCCTTGAACGTGAATCGGTGTCGTTTCCCTACTGGTCAATATTTATTTAATGTGTCATTTTCCTGTTGGTTAAATATTGTACAAATGTTATTTTCTATTTTATGGTAAGATGTGGTCTGTTTGATTGGTATATAAACAGAGTATGTTTGAAATATAGGATTCATATCGCAGAGGCTGAGACTTGTGTTCTGGACTTAACTGGCTGCGCTAGGTGGAAAGCAGGACCAATCAGAACTCTAGGCTGCTCATACGGGTTGGCGCGTCATTGTTCCGACCGATAAGTCATTGCTCTCAAACGGGCGGTCACAAGTTATAAAACCTCTCGAATGTAAATATTTTGAAATCTTCACCAATTCTCTGTCTAATTTTTAGTCCATTATGCATAGCTCTTCATGGTTCCTTCGGACATATCAAATAACGTGAATTACATCCACTATTGAATTAGAGTACGTAAACTTACTGTTAATTGATTTTGATTTCAGCATGAGTAGATATGTCATTCACTTATAAATTTGCCATAATTACTATAATGTCTCAGCTTCATGATATTTGGGACTAGTCAGTGAGGTCTATCTATAATCTTGAGGTCTGAACACTGATAACACTATGTAACATGGATAGTTTGTAGGATAATGGGTTCTTCATTTGAATATAAGAAAAGGTCAGAATCATCCTGTGATAACCATAATAGGATTAGTTTGACTGATATAATATCTAAAATACTAGCCTCGATAATTATCGGACGCCTAACTAAGACTCGTGAACTGCAAACACGAGAAAATCAGGCTAGCTTCAGACTTGGTCGTGGCTGCATCGACCACATTTTCACCATTCGTCAGGTTCCAGAACACAGGCATACTTATCGGCGTCCGACAATGGTGGTCTTTCTTGACTTAGAAGCAGCATTTGACTCCGTAGACCGCGAGATTCTGTGGCAGTATCTGTCATTGGAAGGCGTATTTCAGAAGTACATAAACCTTGTGAAAGCTCTTTACTCGAACACTACTAGTCGAGTCAGAGCTTATGGCGAACTGTCATCTGCTTTTGCAACCTCAAATGGTGTCCGTCAAGGCTGTCCACTTTCTCCATTTTTGTTGAACTTCATCATAGACATACTGATGGAAATAACATTCTCGTCGACTGAATTTTCGAGGATCGATCTCGTACTAGGAGGTACAGTTATTGACTTAGAATACGCAGATGACACAGTCCTGTTTTTGGTGAAGACGCTGATAAAATGCAGTGTTTTGGTAGCACTGAGCAACAATGCCAGAATGTTTGGGATGCATTTCTCCCCCTCTAAATGCAAGTTTTTGTTTCAGGACTGGTCAGTGTCAACACCTGAACTATAGATAGCGAGTGAAGTAATCGACCGCGTGGACAACTTCACTTATCTTGCAAGACCGATCAGCCGTAACGGGTTGGTGTCTGACGAAATCTCAGCACGGATTCAGAAAGCCCGTTTGGCTTTTGTCAACTTACATCACTTGTGGCGAAGGCGAGATATCCGTTTATCAACTAAGGGACGAGTATGTCGTACGGTAGTTCGTTTTGTCCTACTTTACGGCTGTGAAACGTGGTCATTATGAGTAGAAGATACTCGTAAGGTACTAGTATTTGATCATAGATGTCTCAGAAATATTACTCGAATCTTGTGGGATCACCGGGTAAGTAATAGTGAGGTTAGACGCATGATATTAGGGCATGGTGGTAAATCAGTTGATGAGGTTATAAATCTTCATCAACTGAGATGGTTGGTTGGGTTGACTCAACACTGATTACCACGTCTCGCAACTCTGACTAGTGTTGGAGACGGCTGGAACTAGGTTAGGGGCGGCTAAACCAAATCTTGACGTCAGTGCTTGAAGTCACTAACTTTTAGACTGAACCATGTTGGTGGATGCAGACTACTTGGTAAGGGTCTGCGTGACTATCGTAACCGATGGTTGGAGACTCTGTGTAACATGGATCAGAATCGACCAAAATGGCGTAGGTGTATACACTATTTATCTTCTCTTAAACCGTGAGATTAGAATTCCCTCATACCTTTCTTTTTACGAACCAATTATCTCTTCCTGTACTATATCTGTATACACAATTTTTCTTTTACATATTACTACCATTGAAGTAACTACTTCTATAAATTTGGTTTTCATCTTGTTGTGCTAATGAGGTATGGCAACTTGGACCTATGCATATATGTGCCCGGTCTTACGTTGTTACTGACTGACTGCCTGTTGAAAACTACTAATGAATCTGATTTAATGAAATTTTTGAAGTCTGTGCTCTAACATGCTATTCACTTAGACGTACATGAATCTAGTTATGTTTGTAGCCATTAATGAACTATGAAATGTCATTGAAATCTGGTCAAGCATTTAGTGACTTTTACGCAGAGTACTTTACTTGTATTTATCTAAAACCTATAGTACACATATGTACTTGATTTGTTTGTGATGCCTGTACACTTACTTATTTTATCGATCGTTTGCCTCCTTACTCACCTTCATTTTATACTTTGTTTATGTTTGTGAATGATACAACACACACCTAAATAGTTCAAGTAGGATGGTAAATACCTATTCTATCTGAATCCATCTGACTTGATATTTTGGACTAGTCAGTGAGGTTTGAACACTGATAACACTATGTAACATGGGTAGTTTGTAGGATAATGGGTTCTTATCTTGCAGCTACATCAATAGTCATAGGGTTTTTAACAGTTACTCCCTTTCCACTAACCAATATGTATGGTCTCAGTATTGGCAATATACTTTTCAATATTCCTAAAACTCTTATCATCTTCTCTTTCTTCAACTTCACGTTCTTTGTTTTACTCGAATGAATTTTGATAAGTTGAATCCTTATGATTTTTGATGATACTACCGACTTCAATTTTGCCACAATTTATTATTTAATCATTAACATGGAGGAGGATTAGTAGATTTTTGTTAAATAAATTGAAATTCAGTGCTTTCTGACACTAATATCTATATTTGTTTGTACTGAATCATTCTATCCAAACTGTTTTCTAAATTGTGGGCTGTGTTACATGTAAATTGACGTTGTGATTGATTGTTTGCTTTCATATGATGGTGATTTAAACTTAGTAAAAGATTTGTTTCGTGATTTGAACGAAAAACACTTTCCAACTAATCAGAAAATACTTGATTACAATCAATCGAAGCACGTCCAATTCTATTTTATGTTTGATACAAAGACAATAAGTGTTATCAGCACCTAATTAAAATAAAAGTAAATGTATCTATTGAGATAATAAATTTTATTTACTGCAACTTCGAAAACAAAAGCGCTTCGTGGGACCATAATGTTTTCGGCGAACTACATCAGTCGGGTAATTTTGCCTGCGTATGACATTCGCGTACCTGATACATGTTGTTTTCATTCACAATATAGTTTTTTATTGTTTTTAGAAAAGTGAATGCAAACGGAATATTTTCTCAGAAAGTCTTTTTCTTTTATCTTCATTTCGCACAGGTATTCAGAATAATTCCGTCATAGTGAAGCCTTCAACATCGAATTAATTGCTGCTTTGACCAATTTACAAGAAGCGATACTTGAAACTGTAGTTGTTAGAAACAAACTGCTCAATATTAACCAAACAGATATATGTATAAGTTAACCATCGATTACTTTAAAGTAAAACGCGTCATAGAAGTTAAATAATTGAATTGAAGTATTCAGTATTATCGCTCAAATTATAAACTTTAATACGTGAATAAATTTAATTTTTGGATTCCGAATAAAGT